GATTAAAAACGAATTTAAGATTTTTTGTTTTTTTGTTTTTTTCGCATTTGCGCTCTGATATCATGTGACAATATATATACGAGTCGGTGAAACTCCGACGAAACAGTTTGTCACAGCCCCTCGTTTGTTGTCCTCTTCTCTCTCTCTGCCTACGGTTTACCGGGCAGTTCTGTTTGTGACGATATATATATCACAGGCCCTCGTTTGTTGTCCTCTTCTACCTCTCGGCCGACGGTTTACCCGGCAGTTCGGTTTGACGATATAGAGAACTGCTCGGTGAACCGTGGGCAGAGAGGGAGCAGAGGACAACAAAATGGTATATAAATAAAAAAATAAAAGGAATAGGTGAAGAAAATACATTAATGTATAGTTCGATATTTGTGAAGCAAATTCGTGTTCGCATGGATCTGCACGTGGACGGTTTCTTGGTCTTGGAGAGGATGCGGGCGGAGTAGAAAGGGAATGTGGTGCGTTCCTGTTATTGATTGTGGATGTGCAGAGTTCGAATCCTTGGGCCGTCACTACGCGGCCATGCTGTGCCTCTAGTGCCAGCGGCGTGCCTGGATTGTGTATTTTTTGGCTGTGACAGACCTTTCTTTGTTTCGTGGGTGGGTGTTGTGCTGGCTTGTGATGATGGGGGGTGTGAACCGACAGTCTGTAGAGTTTTCTATCTGGCTTCGACTTTTGCCACAGGTACCTTGATGGCAATGGTTGGTGGTCCCCACCTCCTCAGAGGGGTATCAGTTGTCGGGCAGTCGTTCGTTGATGCTTAACCACAGCCGGGGTTAAGTTAAGGTGGATTATCACTTACAGTGTAATCATCAGGTTAGGGGATTCTGCAGACTGTTGAGGGTTCAGCCTCCTGATGAGTCTGTCGGTGAAACTCCGACGAAACAGTTTGTCACAGCCCCCCCTCGTTTGTTGCCCTCTTCTCCCTCCCCTCCCTCTCTGCCTACTACGGTTTACCGTCGGCAGCTCTGTTTGACGATATATTGTTATATATGTATATTACTATATTCTATTTGACGAATATCTGTTTGACGATATAGATATATATACATATATGTTCACAGCGCCTCGTTTCTTGTCCACTTCTCTCCCTCTCTGCATACAGTTTCTTTTTCGTTTGTTTTCTTTTTAATCACCTCCGATGCTCTTCCGATTCTCTCTCTTGGATTTTGTTTCGTGTATGTGGCTCGTGATTAACCCCTCCCCTCCCCCTCCCCTCCCCCTCCCCTCCCACTCCTCTTCTCTTCCCACCTCTCCACCGTGTCTCTCTTTCATCCCTCGTGTCCAGCAGCGGCGCAGCTTTCGCCGTGCTTTGATGGAGATAGTGGCTGGACTTCCCTGGGCTTCATCACGTTTCCTCTGGCTTGTATTTTTATATGTTGTGGTGAAAAAAAAAAAAGGATTACCATCAT